ATTCTCTCCTTGAAACCTTTAAGCTAAGTTGAGGTGAAAGAACTTGAAAAAAGACTTAACTTCAACATTACAATAGGTCATCTAAAACCAGATATCATACCTAGCATAGAAGTAGCATTAAACTCGGTGGATGCAGCAACTGGAGAAGAGGTTAGAGCACAGTGTTCATTAACATTGAAAAAACAAGAGAAGAAGTAGCGAATCTCAACAAAATTTGAAATATCAGCCCTGAATAATCTACTAAATTACAATAATATAGTAACTACAAAATCTGATAAAGGTAATTCAACAATAGTTATGGACAAATTAGATTATTTCAACAAAATTAATGAACATATCCAAACGGCCCTATATGAAGAGATGAAGAAGCCTTTGGATGCGATTATGAATAATATTAAAAATCCACTGCCAATCTGATATGCCAAACAAAGACATCTCTAGGTGGGTTTAATTTAATGCCCAAAATTAACAATCATAGCACAATTTATGATACTTTTAGGGTTCATAAACCAGGTTAACCTATTAGACTCATATCTGACTTCAGAAATACTACAACATTTCAACTAGCAAAGTACACAGCTTCGATATTGTGTCATATTAAGAACCGTTCAAATTCCAGAACAGTAAACTATTACGACTTAAAACCAGAGCCTAATGATCTACATATAGAAGAGTATGAAAAAGTGGTTAAATTCGAAGTAACAAGTTTTTATACTAAAATACCAGTCAATATAGCACTGGAGGCAGTCACAAGTCAACTAAATATTGACTCCGAACTTACTCACAGAACTAAGTTATCGGTTGATGAGATCATATTAGGCAATCAGTTGTGTCTGATCTCCGCAGTCTTCGGGTTCCAACAAAAAATATATAGACAGACAGAAGGAGTAGCAAAAAGATCGCCAATATTCTCAATCATAGCAGATATATTTATGGATAGTTGGGAAAAGTTGGCATTATAAACGCTTAATACTACATTTAAGATGTGGCGATATATCCATGAAACATTTACTGTATTCAGATCGGAACATATCAACGTTTACCTCATACATATAAACTGAGTAGTGAGCCCAATCGAATTCACTGACGAGTTGGAAAATCAACAAGGAGAATAACCTATGTTGGATTAAGGGATAAAATGGAGGACAAACAGTGGTTTGCATACTACCGTATACACAAAACCAACAAATTCCAACAGGTATCTAGACTTCAAGTCATCTCATCTAATGTCAGTTGACGTAGGCTTAGTGAAATGTCTGCGTGATACAGCTACAAAACTGACTCCAACGACCTAAACAAACAACTGAAACATACAAAAGAAGCACTAATAGTTAATCACTATCCTCTATCGCTCAGTAAGAAATTTGTACGATCACATGAGAAAGGAAATAACAACAGCAACATGAGCACGAATAATAGTGACAACACGAGTCGAAAGGAGTTGACAGCCTCCATTGTGTTACCCACCTATATGAGGAAGGAACATCAGAAAGTGTACGTGGAATCCTCAACAAAGCTGGAATTACGGTGGCATTTAAACCTACAGAATCTCTCAGAGATAAGCTTTGTCCACTGGCTTGTGGATCCGATCGAACCAATTAGGCAAAATAATCTAAGCTATCAAACTGCATGTTATGACTGTGAGGTCAAGCTAGCCGGTCGGGGTCAGTTGGAATTGCAGGACATGGGAATCCAGCTAAATATAGAATGACGGATGCGAACAAGATGAGTAATGTAGAAAGGACTCGGTTATTGCAATGCAATGCAATGCAATGCATAGATTAACACACAACCACACAACAGGATGGGATAGGATAAAACCACTGTACTTAACTTCAATATAATTAAGTGTAGAGGGAAGGGGATTGATTACTGAATCTTTGTTCATCTAGTCAGCATACAGCACATGTAAGAGAGATGAGGCGACACGTATACCAGGGGATGGGATTATGCGAATGGGATGTTGAAAGTTGTTTGACTACATTGATATGATTGTGAGCAGTGATAATTAATGCTTGAAATGTCATCAAGTAGATGATACTTTATCACTGTGTGTTGTAAATTGACTAATTGTTTCTGAAATGATAGTAACTGTTCTCGACCTTACTGATTTTGTTGCCTGCGGGGGCGATTTCTTAATTTCGACAAGGAACCCTTTGTTTATTATAAAGTTTCGCTTTACGCATTGATTTTTTGTTAGAATTCAACGGATTTATTGTTGTAAGTACAGTATGTTGGCTGAATTCTCCCGATCATTTTGCAATGTGGGCATCGAGCTAATAGGTTCATCATTGCTGTCAACTTCATTTAATTTTAGTTTGCTGAAAACAATCGACAGAAAGCACTAACTTTTTATTTAATAATTCTTGTCACATATATCTCCAAGACCTGTACCTAAATTCATTTGAAAGTATATTCATTCTCGAACTACCAATATTCTTTTATCTCAGTAGTCCAACATGGAACTTGAATAGATGATTATATTTTTCTGTTATTCTTTAATTATGTAATTCAACTCAAGTCGGTAAATGTATGTGCATTAGATTGTAAGCAAAACATGGACTTATCAGTTAATATAGAAAACCCGAAGACAGTAATCACACGGAGTTACGGAATGCAATAAGCCTGTTTTTATTGAACTCGATTCCAGAGGTGATGGTGTCATAGGAAGAATTGTGAGAAGGGTAAATGCCAACCTCAACAAAACAAATCTTGCAGCCAGTTCGATACATTTTTTGTACAATCTAAAGTGACAAATTCCCCTCCCACGTTACCTGTAGTTGTATGTACAAGTTTACGTGCATCTGTGGTATGACTTACATAGGGAAAGCTAAGAGAAAGGCATAGCTACGTCTCTGTTTGAACAACCGATTTCAGTAGCACTATCACCCCGCATCATATTAACACTTTATGAACTAGACACCTTAGAGTACTGCGAGGTAATCAAAAAGTGAGGTAATTCCATCCTTCTTAAGTTTATTGACGCCTTAGCGAACAAACAACTGAAACCGGAATTGTATGTTTACAAGGAAGCCATGATGAGTCTTCCTTTACCATTGTAACCTAATACCTTACTATCAATTTGATGACATTGTCCTTCGACTGAATCGTCTTTCGGTTCATATACATCTTTGATAACCGTTCTACTAACTGAGTCAATCTCATTTTATTATTTCATAATTCGCCGGTTTTTATTAACAGATAACCTGTCTACCTAATTTTTTGATACCATTCATATTCTTTCCTTAAACTGTCCGTTGACGAAACACGTAATGGATTGTGGACATGATTTTGATACCTGTTAAGTCCTTTATGGTTATGAGTAGACAATATAATAAGAAGTTTCTTGTAAATGCAGAAGCCTGAGCCATTCGAGTTATCATACCAAGCATTTGCATTCATAAGGAAATGGTAGTCAGCTTGAATCTGCTATGGTAGGAGTTACAGTCTTGTTTAATTATATTCAATCTTTCTTATTTGCTCTTCGCCCTTCACCCATCTGACATTTTGGTTTCCTTCCCTGATTTGTTTCGCCTAATTAACCTTCGTATTACCATTGTTATCATTAACAATCATCTCATTATGTACTTGGTTTTCTTATTATGCCTGCATGAGTACTAATAACTATCTTGTTTTGAATAGCGTGATCGAAGCTCAGTCGATTCAGTTCTCACCCCTATGTCAACATTATTACTGTTATTTTCATGATTTTTCAGTTAATCAAGTATCCTATCCCCAACTGATTCACTTTTGAACATCCATTCCTACCTTTGTATTACCGCTTGACCTGTAAAAACTGTTCACTTCTATTTCAAGTTGTTATTTATCGTAGACTGACATCAGTTGGAGGAACAAAGGAAATCTGGGAGCACTGGACAGCTGTTTCGTCCTAGTATGGGACTCCTGAGCAGTGCGCACCCACAACCCCACCAGCAGGGATCGAACCCGCAACCTTCAGGTTTCTCAGCCAGCGCTTTACCATTGAGCCACTGGGTCAGAATCCGATGTTTTATATTTCCAACTTCTGTTCGCTCACGAATAACAACTTGAAATATTTCCGAATCTCCACAACTCCCTCAAAATATTCACTTCTATGTTGTTACACCTAAATCTGTCTCAGTCTACGTTATATATGTATGTATATACGTTCCTTTCCATTGTTTAACGGTATATATAATCAAGTATGTAAAGTATCTAGTTGACAAATACTACTGAAATCTATGAATTCAGTAAATCCTGCTTTTTTCTCATTCACTGCTTGCTTTAAATTTGTTTCGGGAAATAAATCTTTCCAGTATGTATAATAAGTTAAACGTCACAACATATCTTGTTAAATTTATATGGATATCTGTATTCTTTATTGAAGCATATCGTTCCTTGTTAACTAACTGCAAGAAAGCAGGTTTCCCTTCCTTCTTGATCTGATATTTAAATGTTTTCAGGTTGTAAGCAACTGATAAGAAACTGGAAAAATAAAATACTACTATGTTACTCTGCTCAAACTGTTGTCCTCTCTCTACTTAAAACAACAGGAGTAAGAGAATATGGCTTCATAAAGCCTCTTCAAAAGTCGATTCGACTTCATACCTACCATCACAAGGCAACGTATTATGACTACCAACAGTTTAGTACCGATGATATTCCCTTACCTAAATGAAGGTCACTGTCAACAAAATCAATTGATAGTCATTACAACTCGTTTAACCGTGTTTTGGAAATGTAACTCAATTTAGTAGACTTTATTTCAGGCTAAACACCACACTTATTGTCTGAGGATTTTTGATACCAATAGATTGCTAAGTTTCAAGTTAGTGAAAAACTGGTTAGTCCTACTATATATTCGTTTAAATTCAGACGTTTAAACCAGTCAGTCACCTATTTACACTGGGCTAACTCATCTTAGCATTCGTCAGTACTCCACACGGTAATCGTGATCAAACTAACTGGTATACATTATTATAAAAAGTTATAAAATGTTCCTTTTTATCACATTGACTCACATTTATGCAAATCATACTGATTAACGAGTACTTGTGAACACATTTCACATATTGTCAAAATGTGAATGATGTTTACAAATTCAATGTTTCAATATATAAATGTATGAAGCAAATGATGTATGAATACATTTATCAAAGTTGTTTTAATGAATTATTTCCATCTGATCATAGAATATATTTCAGATTTGAAATGTAATAATGATTCACATCAAGAATATATGAGAGAAAAAATATTTTTTTTAAAGAAACTTTTATTGTTTTTTTTATTATGATTGTTGTGTGTTCTAATGATTCTATGCAATTGGTTTAGATGATAAGTCAGAAATAGTTGAATGTTGATTGGTACTATTATTCTTCACATGTGATTTTTTAATGAATTTTCCAAGCTTAACTTTTAAATCTGTGTAAAATCTTTGTGTACATACACGAAAATGTCTATTCATACATGAATAAATGATTGGATTCAATGCAGAGTTAATGAAATACATGTAGAATAACACACGTCTTATTTGATTTGTCCAGTGTGGTCGATCTCTGAATACTTCAACTTGTCTCTTTTGTATAGGCATTGTAGTATAAACAAGATATGGTGTATAGGATATAATGAAATTTGCTGCAACTAAGGCTAATGTCTGTGCTGTACGTACATGTGGTTTCCGTCGACGTTCTAAATTAGCTGCTGACCATTCAGATCTTGGTGTCTGTTGTAGATGACCCTGATCTAGATGTAGATTCATTTCTGGTGTACACTTGTCTTTTTCAGTACTAACTACTTTCAAAACATTCAAGTGTATAAAACATTGTGACTGAACAGTATCTCTACTGTTATCAATAATATTGAAGCTTTGATCAGTAGGAACAGGACTGGCAACAGTCTTGAGATCTTCAACATCTGCTTCTCTTTCACACAAGCAAACACAACTTAACCGATCCAAATTGGATGCATCAAAACTTGTCGATGTAGTCAAATCAGTTTGTGTCTGATTTATCCCTAATGTCTGTTGTGGTGGTGGTGGCTGCTGCGGCTGCTGCTGTTGATAATCATTGACTTGTTCCCTTTCACATCCGTTACCACTTGAACATTGTTTAACTTTATCACTGTGAACATCATTAATTTCTTTTAATTTTCGACGAAATGATAATCTTTTCTTAATTGGACTCCATATTGATGGACTAATATTAGCCGATGAATTCGGTGTAGCGTGTATACGTACCCAATTGCCTTTAATCCTTGAATTACCGTATTTTTCATACATAAATGATTCATGTCGCCAAACAAATAGAAATATCAAGGCATATATACCAGCTGTACCAAGGAATAATCCAAGAAATAGAATTAAGACACAGATTTGATGATACCAGTATAAATAGTCATTAATATATGTCTCATCTTTATCACATCGTTTTGTAACACCTGCCTGATTGATCCATTCATCACTTTTAAAATTTGACAGTCCATATTTCAAGGTGTTCAAGTCTAATAATTCATCGCGTTCTTTATATACATCAATAGCTCGAACATGTAATCCCATCGGTATAGCACATAATAAACCAATCCAAAATATAATTGTCAATGCTAAACTAATATGTGTACGTTTCATTTGGATGCCAGGAATGAAACAGATCAATAAAAAGCGTTCCATTGCAATTAACATTAGTATACATGCTGAGATTGGTACAACAAATCCTTTCATAGTTAAGTGTGCACGACATATCCAATCGGTTGTATCACCTTTCCATATATCTAAGTATAGTGTACATGGGATAACAATTAAACAAATGAATAGATCATTACACCCCAGTAATAAAATAAACAAACCGGATACAATACCTTGGCTAACCTGTTTTCTAAATGCCCATACCACAAGACTGTTGCCTATTGTACCAATGATAGCAATTATAATGAGTATAACAGTTGTAGTTAAAATACTTGGCAGGTAGATGTCCACTGGTTCCGTTGCTATCTGCACTAATGTTCTGTTGGATGTAGTAACAATTGTAGACTGATTTGTTTGATTTAACATGATAGAAGTATCCTTTTTATCCATTTATTTGCTCAATTATAAGGCTATCTGCTCACTGAATACTCATTTCTGCAGTGAATCAATTAAAGCTGACACACACACTATACCCAAATTATAACTGTGTTGCATGAGTGAGAAAATTTGTGTGGTAGACTGCCTCACTGTATTCAATTGAAAAATGAATAAGTAGATGTGTATTAGATTTAATTAGATCTCTTTATTTTCTCCTCTTAAAACATTGTTTTAAAGTCATAATCAAATGAAACATAAAGCCTTTTGGTCGACATAAAATTGCCTAAATTCCATTTTCTAAGTATTTCATAAGTGTAAATCTCTGAATTTTGATTGGCTATTCTAAAGAAGCAATTTTATTGGTCAATTCAGATTGTGGATCACATCCCTGTAGGAAAAGATGTCAGGAGTAGTATTCGGAATTATAAAAATATTGGTATCAGACGAATAATCGATTTCTTCTTATTTTTGTGCATTCTTTTCATATTTATTTATACGACCCTTGTATTTTGATGAGTTTTTAAGGGTAATATTTGTTTATTGGCGTAATTAAGCGTAAGACAATGATTTATATGTTTTGTTCCTAAGTATATAAGCACGAGGGCGAGGAGGATGCTGCGAATACACTATTTGAAGGAAGAACAAGTACACTATATCTTTATCATGCTGTGAAACAATGTTCGAATGTTTGTTTGGCTTTCTTTAAAAAAATATTTTATTAAATCTTTATTTACCGTGTGTTTAATTTGCCCTTAGAAATGAACTTGGCATATATTTTTATTATCCCTCGGGTACTGAGGTATCCAGTGTGTCTGTGTTTTTCTGTTTGTCTGTCTACAGACGACCTTATAACTTTCTTTATCAGCCAAGTTTGTTTATCAAATACGTCTGCGTGTGTGTGTTTCATAGTCAGTAAGCTAAAAGAGGCCATTTTTATTAATATCTGTATGGAATACTATGTACTATTCAAACGGTCGTTATAAGGTTGGGTGAGAAAAGTAGTACTTGAATCGATTGTCAGCTAATAACGAATGTAACTGTCTAGTCATTGGTGCTTGGTACTGATCATAGACAACCAATCAAGTTTTCAATGTGACCAGTAAACAAAGTGACGTTAAACTGAAGTGCATGGTATTCTGATGTGAGGTGTTGGGGGTCGATCGAGAAGAAGCCATCGACCTATAAGTACTCGTAACCCATTTCATCACTGTTTTGAGATAGCTCCTGCTGATGAACGCCAATAAACACCGAAATCTGGGTCTTGGGCTTCCAACCCGACCGACACCGAATATCGAATATCATGAGTGACCGTTTGCTTGAACTTTGGGCTACCTGATTTTTATCACAGAATACATTGAATCAAATTTCTCCTTTCTATATTGTTTTAATCATTCGCTTATGTTATCTAATCGTATTATACACTCCCGCATGTTTTTAAAATCATTGCAACCTATATTTTTACAAACTGATAGGTAAAATTAAGAAAAAACACTATGACGGATGGCAAAGGGGCTCTCAAGCTTATGACCATAGATCAAATGACTATTCCGGAAGTACTTAGCACAAACTTCAGGTCATTGTTCAAGAAGGTTGATTCCATTCAGTCACTCTTATCTACTAATGTTTGTCGGAATACGGGTATAGTAAGGCTGAAGGAAATATGGCTTCATAACCTATTGGATGACAATTTAGTTTGCTCAAAAAGTTTCAGATTATCTCCACAAGATCGAGGCTTTTCTAAAAGGAAAGTTGGTGGGGTGGAGCAATATTTTTATCAATACCAAATGGTCCACCTCCAACTATGTATGCTTCTGCTTCTGTAATGACAAAATTCAGTGAATTGCCATCAAATGTCATTCTGAGCATTTGAGCAAATACAAACATACATACATAACAAACATTTATGTCACATCTGACTGCAGTTTCTCAGATTCCTCATCTTTTGCTGATGAATTCACTGAATTTGCTGCCCCGATTCTGAGTAGTTCCTTATCTATAGTCTGTGGAGATTTTAACTCATGTGACTTCAGTTTCCTCATATCATCAAATCATGAAGATATTATTAACTTTTCCATTGGTCTTATTAACACCCTAGGCCAAGTCATGCAAATGACTCTGGAATATATGAAGCCCGTAAACGGAATCCGCTGCCAAATCCTGACCAATGTATTGCACGTGTTCTGCCTAAAATGTACGACAAATTACACAAAAAGGCTTTCGGATATCTTTCCAACAATCTCCAGTACATAAGCTATTCACAAGAGAGTATACCACGTTTGAGAACCATGCTTGAAGAAACTGGGGTATATTTGTTGATGAAGTTTTAGATAACACTATCACCAGTATCACAAGCTAACTGATTTTATATCTCGACATATGCTACCCTGCTGAAACAACCTACATGAGGTTCGACAAATCTTCCTCTCCTCATCTCAAGAGGCTCCGGAGAGAAAAGGAAAGGTTTTACAAGACGAGAGATCATCCTGGCGTTAAAAGACTTAAGTGACTAATTAAGCCTGAAATACAACGTTTGAATACTACTTACAACAATAAGTTAGTTTCTATCGTGTAAGAACTCCTCCAATACATGGGAATTACTCAAACAACTTACTGGTAGAAAACAGATCACAAAAGAAGCTTATTCAGATGTCTGCGCGATAAGCAAGTCATTCATACATCGATAAGCTGAGTTCATCCTTCCCAAATGTCTATAGTCAAATAGATAACTGCTTCCCTGGTTCTAAACATCTTAAGTCCTTGAATCCATCTTAAAGCTTAGGTTCTGGTGGTGTTTTAAGCATTATATTTAGAAAATGTGCAGATATTTTACGTCATCCCCTTACAGATACTTTCAATGCATTACTTTCTAATAACACAGTACCTGCTGCTTGGAAGGAGATCAAAGTTGTGCCTGTACCTAAGTCATCTTCTGGATCAGATGTTAGGGTTCGACCCATTACTACAACTTCCCCTTTCTTAAAGACAATGGACAAATCATTTCTCCTTGTGATTGAGCCTTCACTGATGGTGTTTAGAGATCCAAAACAATTTGCTTACGAACACAGGAGACGCACGTTGGATGCTGTCATTCTTGCATCATAATATTGTTTCCAGTCTAGACAATGGTGCTGAGTGTGTTCGTTGTCTTGTTCAAATAGTCATCGACCTTTGACTCTGTTCCTAGACCACTCTTGTTAAATAAGCTTTCCATGGCTCTTGCAGTGTCAGGGTGCTTTACTTTCTCCTTTTCTGTTTTCTTCCTTTTTGCGCATTGTTTAACTAACCGGCTTATTCATTTGGAACTAATTTTATTCAGTATGCTGATGACCTAACGGTGTCTGTTCTAGTCAACTCTCAATTAGATTGCTCTGAAGTAAATGGATTCTTGTCTGCAGTTGACCAATGGTCTCTCTCAAGTGGTCTCAAGTTAAACCCGTCTAAGTGTCACACTGTTAATTTTAGCCTCAGGCGTAAACAAGACTTATGTGGGCTGCTTAAGTTCCATGACTGTTGTTGCATTGATGGTATTTTTACAGAAATTGAATCGAGTGTTAACTATCTTGGATTGAGTTTTCCTTCTGATCTTTGTTGGTCGTCTCATATCTTGTTGACTTGTAAAAATACCTTTCTTTTAACATATTACACAAAGAAACTGAGAGTTTCTGGTATAACTCAACGTCTACTTATGCAATTTGTTAATTCCTGCATTCACCTGTACTTCCCTATTATTCCTCTTTGATCTTTCCTGGTCTACTAAGAAAGGACTATGTTATATTGCGTAGGGCTTTGAAAGCCGTCAGTGGGGTCAGTGATGTGCGCATGGCCCAACTGACTTACACTATAGTCGACAGATATTTAAATTCTGGGAAGCAACTGCCTACAGTAATTTTAACTGTCAGTTAGCATCCACTTCATTCACAGCTATCTCCTTGTATCCCTTTAGGTGGAACAGGAAGAAGTCACATAAAACTGTATGCTCGTACAGGTAAATACAAGTATTCCACTTTATCTTACCTAGTACCCATATTATTTGGGCAAAAATGTGTTAGAACAAAACTCACATATCAACTTTGTAACAGTTAACAATCCCATTTCAATATTTTAATTAACCACGTAAAATGTTCTCGTAATTGATCCTCTTTACACTACTTAAATTCTTATAATAACACTATTCGAAATGTTCTAAAGGTGTGTATATATACATATGTTTTGTAACTGTTGCAATATATCATGGTGATAGTTCCAAATTATGCCGAAATTTGTTTAGAATAAAGTGAATATCATTTGAGAATATGGTTTTCATTTTCAACCGATCTCTGTTGGAAATGATATACTTTGACTCTAACCATCCTTAATCGATTAGTTTAAGGAGTTTTTGATCTGAAATATTTTACCCAAGATCTGTGATTGATCCACTTGGTAAACAATCAGTCCAATACCTTAAGACTATTGTACAAACTATATGTCGAAGACTGTATCACGCTTAGTTGCTTTTCAGCATAGATTAGAAATCTCCTATGTTGATAATGGATCCGATGGATGTAACAGTAGTAATAATATTAATGACAATAGCTTTATTTCAAACACTATAGCATTCTCAGCATATAATAGTTTAGCAAATTTACTCCTAAAACAATATTTTCAAACAAGTTGATTATTTCATCAGAATGCACTAAAGGCAATAGTATGAAACAGCTTGGTCGTGTTGTATTACCGTCGGGTGTATAGTGGTGGTTATTCATTCAGCCATCAGAAGAATACCCTATTCGAGTCAGGTATCCGAAGAATAGTACTATGATGTATTTTAGTGTATTCAAAAGTTCATTTTCGTTTAACATGACACTTTTCTTTCATTTCGTTATTAAATCGAAAAACGGCTAGTTCAGAACATTTTAAAAATCTGCAAGAGTACCTGAGATGTTTGGAAGACATATTTGAAAGATTAAAATACTCTAAAAGCAGAGAATTAGATATATTATGTTCACTGGGGAACTTTACTGGTAGCCCAAAGTTCAAATAGGCCACCAAAATAAGTGTAAGGCGCCATTCATATAATAATAATAATAATCCACTTTATTCCAAACAATTTGTGGTACAATTTGGAATTCTCAGCATCATACATATATTGCAATAACAACAAAATATAAGTATATACATACTACTTTGCAGCCTTTCGAGTTATTTTATTATAAAAATTTAACTTATGTGAAGAATATTAAAAACGAGAAAATTTTGCATTGTAAGTTAAATTATTGAAATGAGACT